ATATATATAAAGAAACTCTCCCCGTGCACCATGGGTGGCCCGCGCTTTTTTTTCTTTCTACCTCTTCATCTTGCCTGCATCTACAGGAAACAAGTAAACCGGCGATGTGGTTTCATAATCATAATCGAGAACAGCAAATACGCTTTTGGTGCAACAGAAGTAAGCTCTCTTTTGTAGAACAAGCCAGCCACAGGTGACTGAGATTAAAACACGCGCACACACATGCACATTATCTCCTGCAGGAGCAAACCTGTCCCCCATGACACGCCTCCAGCCGCCGCCACTACAATAACCTGCACAGCGTTTTGTGAATAATCATCTTTATGGCGACTCTATTATAACTTAATGGCTTATTAAACTGTCTCCACTGTCTTTGGGGGGGACTCGTAACAATCCTCGTGGATCTCTGGACGGCCATGAAAGGGAAGAAGTCTCTCTGATTTGTTTCACAGACTGCAGAAATTGATCAGACCTTTAACGATCCCCCTGAGTTCGCAGACGCCTCCGAATACCACCGCCTGGATCGCGCTCCACAGGCGGGAGAATACTGAGCCCGTGTGTTTATCTGCACACGTTCCTCTTTACATTCGAGGTTCTAGTCGCCAAGAGAAGTGGTGTCAGTCGTGTTTGTGTGATGAAACAACAACAGAGAAGTGGCGTCTATTTAGAGAGTGAAGCGCTCGGCGGCCAGCAGCCAGCGCTTCTCCTGCTCCGGAGACACTCACGATCGAATCAGTCGACTTCCTCGTTTTGGTGCGCGAGCACTCCGGTTTATATACCGCTCTAAAAATAGCGCTCGTTCAGCCCAATGGGAGCCGGGGACGCTTCGGACCGCGCACCAACCGCAACAGACAGGATGAGTCGGCTCCGGCTCGTCATTGGCCAGAAGGTGGTCTTTGTAGGTGGGAGGCGCGCTCCTGCGAGCCCATTGGCGGACGCGCCGAAACGTAATGCAATCACATGGAAGAGGGGGGGGTGGATGTCTGTAATTTTGAATCGGGGGTGGAGGGAGGGAGGGAGGGAGGAGGGTAAGTTTTACAGTGCAGTGACGGACTTTTTTTGCAGAGTTCAGTGTTGTGCGCTTCTCGGTGCGTCACACGCTCCAAACCTCCGCTGGAAGCGCACGACTCCGGACCATCATACATGCGAACGCAGCCAAGACTCCAGCTTCTCTCCGAAACACAGCGAGCTTTCGGTTTGTTTTTCTCTCTGCAGGCTGCATCTTAGGAGTGAAATGGATGTCATCCCCATGTGTAGCATCTTCCAGGAGCTGCAGATTGTGCACGACACCGGATACTTTTCCGCTTTACCGTCCCTGGAAGAGTACTGGCAGCAGGTAACGACTTCATTCCCTCCATCGAAACGCGAACAAAAAAAAAAAAAAAGCTTGACAGATCGTCCCGTGCGAGGAATGTGGGTGATTTTGGGAAACTTGCTCTCCAGTGACAGCGGCGCGTGCGGACCTGCGAAATGTCAAAGTTGTTTACGGAACTCCACGTTTGATTTAGTGCAACAGTTAATTCTCCGTTAAAAGTCGACTTGCGTGCTTTTTTTTTAAGGGGAAGTGATGCAAGTTCCCTTAATGGCACATCTCTGTGACATTCCAATGAGATGTGCTGTAATCGTGTTCCTGTGATTCAACATGACAACAATATTCCTATGATAAGTTTGAAGTGACTTTATGTGTTCAGCATTCTTAGTGGCGTTTGCTGTTGAAAATACTGCTGCACATAGTCTCAGCTCACGCTTTCAGGTTGTGGAGGCGCGTAAAAATAAAAACACGCCGTGTTGCAGATTTAGCGACTGAATAGCGAGCCGTGCGTCTCTGCGCGTATCTCCTCCACACTCTCTCTCTCTCTCGCTCTCTCTCTCGCTCTCTCTCTCTCTCTCACACACACACACACACACACAGACAAGAGTGACAGCCTGAGAGAGAGAGAGAGAGAGAGAGAGAGAGAGAGAGAATGATTTCTATTCCAATTTGGCTCGACAAAGCGGCCCCAGGATGGCAGACGGAACAGTGCAGTTCTCCACTGGACACCAGATCGAGGGCGAGAGTCGCCTCTTGCTCGGGTTTTTGGTTGAAATGAAATGAATTGGCAGCCCGCGTTCAGTCTCCCGGTCTATCAGATCTCTTCGGGCTCCGGGCCAAGTCACCCTCCCAGGCATTTAAAGCTGGCCTGGGATGTATCCAGCACTGCTGACGAGAAGCATTTGCCTCGAATGGCTTCTCTCTCATTGCCAAATTACTACCACAACATTCCTATTTCAGACAGAAAGTGTGTTAGTGATAAGGGCTTGGTGGAATCTGACACCATGCTCTATAGACGTGTTTAAGCCATTATCATATTGCTATATGAATAATAGTATTGATACTTGTCCTTCTGTTATTTGAATGAAGTGTTTCTATAAAATGTACCACGGTTACCTCCGAGTCTGCACACTTTTTCTATAGAAAGTAATTTTTCTTGACTTAACTTTATGAATCATCCTCCATATTTATGGTGTGACCACTGGTACCACTGGTGTGTTCAGTGGTTTCATAATGAAGCTTGTAATCTGCTTCATTGGGAAACCGTCAGCGGCCTTCATGTCTGGCCCCTGCTCACTGACTGCAGTGGGTTGAGGAAGTGCTCTCTGGCTTCCTTTTCAAAAATAAAAAAAGGAAAATGAGCCCACAATCCTCAGCGGCTCTTGCAGTATTCATGCCGGGGCTTTTTTTATGGACCCCCGTGAACCAGACCTCCCTCCTCTCGGTCCCCGGTGTGCTATGTTATTTCTAGCGATGCCTCCGAATGCATTATTAAATCCACATTACGTTGAATAATTGATCGATTTAAAAGATCTACAAGCACTTCCCTAACCCAATGGGGGGGCTCTGTAGCATATGTAAATTTCATGACCGAACCTCCAGCACACCCCTTCGCACGCACCCGCGCACACAACCATGCCATCGGTCGCGGGTTTGAGAGCGCCTTGTTCTTGCATGTTCTCAGAAGGAAATGTGGTGCATGTAATCTTCCCTGATATGGCCTCAGAGGGCACCCGTAGAGCGTGCTTCACTATCCTCTGCATAGGACATTGTGTCTGCCTGCAGGCAGGAAGGAAGCAGGGCCAGTGGTGTTACAGTGTCACAGCGTTTCCCCCTCCTGCTGCTGCTGCTGCTAAGAATAAACACAGTGTAGCGTTTGTGTTTCCCGTGAAAAATCATCATCATTTTGGGGGGGGGGCATTTAGGGACTTTCCTGTTTAAAGAGAAGCGTTTTGTTACAGGCCTCAGGCCCTGTACACCCGTGAACTCACTCTCTCGTCTTCCCCCCACGCAGACATGCCTGGAGCTGGAGAGGTACCTCCAGAGCGAGCCCTACGTCTCGGCCACGGAAATCAAGTTTGAGAGCCAGGGGGACCTGTGGAGCAAGCTAATGCTCGCTTGTGGGGACAAGTCGGACGAGTCGGACCCAAAGATCCCCCGCATCAAGGAGGAGGAGGACAATCAGGACGGCCTGCACATCGACGCCGGGGGCTTCAACTCCGACGCCAGCAGCGAGGCCTCGGACAGCTCCGAGGAGCTCTCCCCGACCCTCGACTTCTCCTCCGGCCCGTTGACGGACATTGTGGGAGACGCCGGCGAAGACCTGGGCTCCGCCATCATCAGCACGCCGCCGTCTTCGCCCGAGCTGGGCAAGGAAGGCTCTGCGTGGAACGGGATACAGACTGTGCTGCACTCACCCGGGAAAATTAGGACTGGGGGCATAGAGCGGACCGCGGAGAGGTCGGGGCTGACCAGCGGGGAGGCGTCGCCGGACGGCAGGAGGCGGGTGCACAGGTGTCAGTTCAACGGATGCAGGAAGGTGTACACCAAGAGCTCGCACCTCAAAGCACACCAGCGCACGCACACAGGTAAAGACACTCGACAGTGAGATGTTGTTATCGCTGCCATGCAAATGTCATGAGTGCAAAGTCACCAGGGGGGGGGGGGGTTAATAAGTAAAACTTAATCCACTCATCTGAAGAGTGAACACTTCTGGAAAGTGAGATGAACTTAGGTATTGACTCCGTGCCTTGCAGTGGGTGAAAAAAACGCTCCCACATACTTTGAATAGTTTGTCAGGAGGAATACCCTCAACTGTGACCTAATTCACACAGAGGAACGTGACTTCATGCAGGGGGGGGGGGGGGGGGGGACGTCCTTTTGTGGCCGAGCGGCACCCAGAGGATGTGGATCCTGAAAACAAATCAACAGTTCTCAGGTTTCACCATGGGAACAGACCCAGAAACTCAGCCATTTGCCGTCGCAGGCAGAAAAAATTATGGGAATCTGACATTTGCAGTGTTTGCAGGGGGGTTCAAGTGTGAGCAGTTTCCCCAGTCACCTTCGACCTCTGCCAGCCTCTTTACAGCTGTGCCGCCCATTAGCGGAGGAAGTCGCATTCCGAGCATCCCCAACTGACCATGTTAGCCGCGCGGTTAATGGCCTTCAGGACCATTAAGAACAGGCTCTATTTTTCCTGCAGCTTGCGGCCGTTACATAAGCCGTCTACTCGAGCTGCATACCACAGCTCTCAAGGCATGAGGTTGTTTTTCTCTTCAACTTACAGTAGTCAGCTCAATCTGCTTAGCGCCGACTCGAACTATCACCTTTTGTCTGAAACCAGCTTTGTGAAACCTCTCGGATGAGTTAGAATAAGTCTGAAACGGCTACAATTTCAGAATGTTTGATATTCTGACGTTTTGATTGATGGATCATACAGTTTGGACATTTGCCAGAGGGCTTGTAATGAAAGGGGCACAGAGAAAATATTCTGTTGATAAGAAGGTTATTGGACGAAACACAATCATGTCTGTAAACCCATTGAACTGCCAACAAACAGGTTTTGTGGGGGACAAAAAAAGTGGCGGAGCATGTGCAGAAGTCTCTCAACAATGGTGTCTCTCTTGACAAACAATGCACTTCCTCATGAATGTTCATCTCGTTCGCAGGTGAAAAGCCCTACAGGTGTTCATGGGAGGGCTGCGTGTGGCGCTTCGCACGAAGCGACGAACTCACCAGACACTTCAGGAAGCACACCGGAGCAAAGCCATTCAAATGCAGCCACTGCGACAGGTGAGAGTCCTCAGGACATTGGATGTTTATCATAGTTTACCCAAAATGGAAAAAAAAAAGTTTAGATTACAAGCAGCCGAGTACGTCAAGAGTTTTAGGGGGCTTTTTGGTTTGATTTCATGCCTCCTTCAAAGGATTTAAAGAATATTAACTTCCAAACATCGCAGTGAATCCCCTTCTCCACTCGTTTACTGACAACAGAGCACCACTTATGCAAATGAGTTTATGGAAATGGGTGTTAGGTGGAGGGGTGAATGAGGGTCAAGGACGGACTGATGGAACGGTGTCGAGGTCAAGGGGTTGGCTGAAAAGAGATTTCGGCACAAAGGGTCGAATGGGGATCGCTGATGGGTAGACGCCAGAAGGTGTCGTGACGGGTGAAGCATTTCAATGAGCCATCGCCGCTTTACAAGAACCACCTGGGGGACGATAATGACAGATAATGGCGTGAGACAAACCTGTGTAGGTCGTTACAGGAAACAGGATGAGAGCGAAGCCCGGGCTTTGTCCTTGAACCCTCCACATCGACAGTCCATGTCCTCCTCCTAGTCGGAGATATCGGACGTCTAAAGACGGCTATTTTCAACCACCGGTGGGCCTCAGAGCGCCATCTAGAGGGCCGAGAAGGAGGTTCTGCCAAATAGCAATTTAAATTATTTTTTAAAATTAGTTTACTTCCAAAGATAGATATCTTTTTTTATCTAAATGTGCTCCAGAATTCACATAAATAAATACAAAATGTCAATTTAAAATGCATAATTTTGGATGATGCTAGCTAGCTGGCTCCAAGTGATGTTGGAGACAACCCTGTGCCAGTAAAAGCTCCAAAGCATGTTGTGAGGAAATATGAATACATAAGTGGTATTTGTACTTACAGAGAGGCATAAAACATATTTACAGCCCCGTTTCTTTTCTCTCTTTCATTTTGAAAGACGGTCCTCAGAAATGTTAACAATTAGAAGTGAGCCTTAAGGTTGAAAACCCCTGATCTCAGAAGTCTCCTTGTAGGGCGAAAAGAACAAACATGGACAGCCTTCCGTCATGTAGCAGAAGTTATAATACGTTTATTTACTGTGTTCTATGAACTGTGTATCTGGATACAAGACAACAACGCCGTTCTAAATCTTCTCTCTCTGTTTCCCCTCCTCAGGTGTTTCTCCCGTTCTGACCACCTGGCGCTGCACATGAAGAGGCACATCTAAGATGGCCTCCACGTCGAGATCTCTAAGGGATGATTCTGGTTGATTTGTCCTGACCTGTGCGGGGGGGGATCAGCGAGGCCGGTGTGTGTCCTGGGAGCGTTTAACAGGGGCACCGCCACGTTCCAGTCGGTGGAAAAAAGATGAAGCAAACGCAGGCTATTATTTGCACCATACTTAGTGCCTCCGACACCTCGCTGTGGAGATGGCTCTTGAAAGGCTTTTACGGAGGATCGGGGTGGGCGTGGGCGGGGGGTGGGGAGAGAAAAAAATGTTTAAAAAAAAAACGGGGAGAAATTTGGTCTGGAGTAGACGGGAAGAGACTCTTCTGTATGGTGTTCAGCGCTTTTTTCCTGGAGGATTATGGGACTCCTGCGGGTGTGCCGCTCCTCCAATGACAGTGTGTTTGCCTGTACGCATGGGGGACTGTGAGTGCCTGAGACTGGATGCCTGTGCCGGCTTTTATGGAGCGGATGGAGCTTGCATTGCAGAACGGCGAGTGAATGACACAAAGGGGGGTTGATGATGTTACGCAAGGGGGGTTTTTCGGGGGGATTCTTGTGGTCTCACTGAGAACGAATGCAAGCAACAACAACAACAAAAAAAATAGGTTTCTGTCCGTGCTGTTTGAGTCTACTGGCTGTGGAGAGGAGTAGGGGCCTGTTTTTTTTTTTGTGGGGCTGATTTTGCGGGAGAGAGCGCGCCCCCTCTCTGCCCGGAGGTGGAACTACAGCTCCCTATTTTCGAAAACACGGGAGGTTGTTTTGTTTAGTGCAGCTATTAAATGTGCAATGTATTACGTAGCCTGTCTCGAAAACATACACGCTATAAAGCTCATCTTGTTGTCCATTGTGTAAGCTCTGTATCTTAAAAGACAAAACTACAAAAAAAAACAAAAAAAAAACAACGGTTGTACACAAACGGTTATTGCCATTATAACAGAAGTTGCATGGGATCTGGGGATGTGTTGCTCACCTGTTTGCTAATGGGGGAACAAAGCTACCTTCATAATACTCGATATCATAGTATATTTACAAAACACATAAGGCAGTCATTGTTTTTGAATAACTTTCTTGATAAATTGGGGATACCACTATTGCTTGGCAACTTTCTTAATCTTGGGATTTTCTTTTTTTTCTTCACTTTTGCTCTTCACTTTTGTTCTATCTGTAAATGCACTGTTGACCTTACTGATGCCTTATGTAAGTGGCCTTGTCCTGTTAGATAGATCTCTCTCTCTCTCACACACACACACACATCTGGAGGGTTGCGGATGCACTAGTGCATTATTGAATTGCTTTATAAAGGCTCTGATCCATGCAGTCGCACCTTTGCCCTTTTATCTGGCAACCGACTCCTCTAAACTCCTGAATAATAATCCAGAAAACGACTAAATATCAGCTTCATAGTGACTGCCATTTTTACATCTCCGCGCATTCTCTGTTGAACATATCGTTAACTATATCACAACTAAATCATATTTCGCCCCAAAAGTGACCCCAGGTCTGAGACAGAATCTCGGACCACTTGAAAAAGCAACTCAAGTTTTGTAAAGGTTTACTACTATGTAGTACAAGGTGGCGCGGATACACTTCAGATTGACTGTAACTTGCTGTCAAAGGTACAGAGTCTTGGAAATATGTTCTCATGAAAACGTGGCGCGCTCAGCCACCAATTAGGATTTTACTGCAAAGAAAACATTTCCGCCGGGGGCCATTTATATGTTGATGTGTCAAAAACGTATAGTCTTTAAAAGAAAAGTGTGGGATCCTGAAAAAATAATGACGACATTCTCAATCACGAGTCTGTTTTTGATGTTGTGTGTTTTGGTGAGTCTCGCCCTCGGGGTGAGTCGGTATCTTTACTCAGCCCTGGTTGACACAAGCCCGTGATCTGACTAAACGGTAACCTAGAAACCGGTCCAACCAGTTTAGCTGAGCTGTGCTGCAGGTCTCGAGGTGTCCGTCTGTGTCTGCGGCTGAACTGAGATGACACCAGTCTGTACCAGCTTCACTATATGCATGTTTTAACTTTAGTTACTGTACACGACTTCAACGCACTCCTCCGTGGGTTGATAGAATTCTCTAGAGAGTTTATCGAAATCCCCTCGGTTTCACAGTTGGATGAACTCCATCACCATTTTCCCCATTTCTAACCAACGTTTTTTGGAGCCACGGTGTTTTTAATGGAAAAGGTTTTGTTGAAAAAGTAAGACTTATGAAAGCGTTGATGAAGATCTTATCTGCTTTAAGGGTATGGCTTGGTTAAGTGGTCATAAAACCTGTTGTCTCTCACTCATTCGTCAATCTCGCAGCTGTACATGTGAACCCGGTCAACATTAAAGGAAGTCCATACACTGAGAAATGTCAAAAGAAATGCAAAGATATGTACATTGTAAACTAAGAGAATTTTGTAAGGAAGCTTCTATTTTGAAAGGGTATGGGACCAAAAACAAGTGCAGTGTGTTGTTTCTAAAGATGAACCAATAACAACGAGAGGCCGAAGCATTGTTGTAAAATAGACAAACTCCATTCTCCCTCATCTGCTTCTGTAACATCTTTGTTTTTGATTGGAGGAAGGTAGAGCAAATGTATGTTTTAAAAAAGGCATCAATTGCATATACACCTGTGGCCTATCATCTTTCAAGAAAAAAAAACATTAAAAATTTCCAAAAAAAAATTACTTTTCAGACGTGAATTGTTCTGGACACTTGAATTGTCATAATTTTTGCATTATTTTGCTCGCTAAGTATTATGTGTTGTTTCATTTGCCATGTGATGTCTTTCTCTCAACTTTTCAAAGACCTGCGAAGACGCCCCATCTTTAGCTAGAGAACCTTTATCTGATAAACATGGAGATAAAAATATGAGGCTCTATTTTTGTTTGTTTTATGGCATAACAAGATTTTTTCATTTGAAATTGTTTTGTAAAATAGTTTCTGTATGAATGTATTTTTTATTGGAAAATCGATAAAAAGAATTTATTGGATCTACATATGTTTTTTTGTTTCCTTCTTTTCCCTGCATCACTCCCAGGACAGGAAGTCTTTGTTTATGGGATATTCAGTAGATTCCCAAAGGAGGAATTATCTCCGTTACCCCCTGTTCCCATAGAAGTCAAAGGTCAGAGTCAACTACAGATCTGCACTTTACTGGCAGGAATTCAGAGACTGGAACCAGGTCCAGAAACTTATAGTAAATTACATATGTGACTCTATTCGAAAACCATTATGCTAAAGATTATTCTGGTTCATCACAAATTGCTCGTATTTTCCTTATCGTCAAAGAAGTCCGTTTCTCAATACTTTCAAACTTCCTTCCCCCTGCCTGTGGCTCTCAGCCCCAAGCCCATTGATTTCTACTAAATATGTTTAAAAACAGTTTGTCAAACGGCTAAGTCCCAAAACAGCTGGACACCCTTGTCGGGAACTATTTTCAGCGGTGGATTAAACCACACTTGGTGCCCTGGTGAGTATTTGTGGCAGCAGGACGGTGTTTGTTGTATGGAGTCAAAATAGACTACAGTATGTGTGTGTGTGTACGTGGTAATGAAGGAACATGTCACCAGTCCAACGGTGTGGCTCATTGATGTGTTTTTAATGGAGTTCAATGGCACAGAGGAGAAAGATTTATCAGGCTTTGATACACGCACAATTACTTGTTAGCACTCGGTCCGCTAGGATTCTAGCCTCGGCAAAGTTCTGTCAGAAGTAATTTATATACTATACTATAATATGTAATTGTTTTCACGAACACATCAATAATGTGATGAAGTTACTAGAAATGATGGGAGAAAAACTAAATAGCAGAATCTGAAACCTTTTACGATGTCCCGCTCCAATTTACACTCTTTATATATTCTTTTATAATGCGCATTGATTTACACTATTTACTGCTGCTGCACGTCTCCAATCCAAACGTACCCATTTGCTTTTTATTGCTTAAAATACAACTACCATAATGTATAACTTGTAGCTTACTATATTACAGGCTTTAGGCGGAACCATGTCGTAAACGACATACTTAATATCTCTGAGACGCTGCACGCAATGTAATCCAGCCTCCAACGGCAGCATCTTTTTCAGAGACTTTGTAAAACAAATCCATAACAATAAATCCAATGTTTTCTGTGTTTATTTAGCCCTTTTTATTGTGTCTTATCGTGGTTATTATCGTTGTTGGCCATCCACTAGCAATACCGTGGGTTGAGTCTGTCGACCAATCAGAGGCTGTGTTCCTAACTGTGTGGCAGCTCTGATCTCAGAATCATTTAGGTAATGGAATAACGTGAAAGTAAACAATGACCTTATATGGTAATAATGTGTAATATGGTAATTACAGTCTCTATGGCGGTTGTGGCAGTCAGAGGAATAAATGCTCAGAAATCTTGCTGGTTTCATCAAAATCACATTTTGGAAAAGTTGTGAGCTGAAAAGTCTTTATTCAAACAGATATACAACATATAAACCTAATTGTTCCGTCTTTGTGGTCCTTGTGTTGGAAGATACATTCATTTCATCTGGTCTTTTCATGAGATTTGTTGAAAATAAGAAAAACACAGAAGATAGAACTGATGGCCAAAGCTGTGAATATAAGACCCAACTTGTAATAAACTGGAATCATCCATTAAAGTAAAGTCATCCCATGATCCAAACCTCCCTATAGAAGCATCTGAGATATTTAAGGTATGTAAATATCCAGCAGAAATCAGAATATTCAGTTTATTCTTCCAGATATATTCATCATCAGGACGTTGGGATGTGAAGCTATATCCCAAATTCGACAAAAGAGCAACGACGTGAGCCGTTTGAATGTGCATTGTGAGGACAATCTGTTCCTCCTGCTCCAGCCAAGAGCGGTGAGTTTTCATCTTACTCTCCAAGAAATTTATGCAAATTAAGTTGTGCCGCAAACAAATCCCCGATAAGAGCTCCGCACACTACACAGACAAATAGCCTCTTCATCTCCGATTGCAGGCACAAAGTGCTTCGGCTTTGACGCTGCTCCACAGAGCCTGCCACGCTCCGTGCCCCAAAGCCCCCTGAATAATTGAAGCACTCTCAAGAGATATTTATTGGTGTTTTAATTCAAATTACCAGAACTAAAAACTGTGCAATATAATAAAATAAACAAGTAAAGAAACGACATAAATCAAGTGTGGAGGAAAAAGTGGAAGATTAGATAAAGGACATATCATATTTCCTCAATCTGATACTTCTGGATGGAGAGCTTCTCATTTCCTGAGTAAACTTCCTGGTGACAAGAAATCTTCTACAAGGCCAAAAAATGTTCATGCAGTCTGTCGAAGGATCTCCTCACATGACCTGCAATAATTTGGGGAGTGGATTTTGAAAAATATCGTGGAATTGGGGACAGTCTTGATTTGTATTCCGCACTGTCAATTATTCCGTGGACACAATAACAGAATTTATATCAATTAAATATGCATGACTGTGACAGACTCAAACCGGCCTTGTTTTTTTCTTCCCCGATAGCTATTACACTTCCCACTGTGTTCACAATTAGAGACGAGCATGCTACTCTGGCTTTAGACAATTAAGTGGTAAAAGTGGATCCTTTTCCCTACAGAGAACTTGAATGTGGGGGCATTTTGGGAAGAATGTCTGACGAGTGTATCTAAAGAAATACACCCCATCTTGTGTTTTTAGATGGGAATGGATTAAAGTTTAGATAGTTACGCTAAAGCTGTTGTAATGGGCAGCTTTGTCAAGATATACTTTTGGATATATTTCTAGATGTTGTATTTGTATTATAAGAACCATCAGGCCAATAGTCGTAGTCACAACTATACAGACTACAGACAGGGAGCATGCATTGCACAACTATGCAAATCCTTGCAGGTATCACAGCTCAAATCTTCATAGTTTTTGTACACAAATTAGTTATTTAAACATCCAAATTAAGTGTGAGTTCAGTTGGAGATTTGTAAAAATATATACTGAGATGGCCAAGAGGGAGAGACGTTGGCGATTAGACAATAAGACGTAGCGTCTTCTTTAAAAGTGCTCAATATGGAGTTCAGAGCACGTCGCTCTGAACTCCATCGCTCTCAACGTGGCCGCAGCTGAACTGGCGGCTGACACCTAACGGTGCTAACAGCGCTAACAGTGCAAACAACAGCAAACAGCGCTGACAGAGCCAACGGCGTTTACCTGAGGGGGAACCAGAGGGTGTGCGTTACGCTTCGGCGCCGTCGCACGAGCGCGGTGCAGAGCGGCAGCCTTAAGCTAGCCAGTGTGGCACAACAGAGAGACTCACATGCACTAAAATGCACTTAACAAAGCTCAGAAAAGCTTAGCTAAAAACACACACAGTGGGAGAACGACTTCATGCTCTGCTCAGGTAGACATTTCTCAACAATATCTTTACATTGCAGATGTATTAGTGCTCTGAATCCCGTTTATAGACTCTTTAAACGTAGGCTCATGACAAGATGTGTTCGGAAAAAGATTCCTTGGAGTTTGAATGCTGGCGCTGGTGTTTTCATCTATAAACAGTCCAATTCAAAGACATCAGGTCTTAAAAACGTCAGAACTTAATCCAGTGTTTGTTATTTGTGTCTATTTTAACTGACTTTCCCTAAAACAATACAAAGGTCATGGCCTTAGTGTCCTTCAACCCTGACTGACCAGACGAGCAATCACTCCAGTTTTTACTGCTGCAGTAATTTAACTCCAGTACCTCTATAAATCTAATCTGACGGGATTATTTGAGAAGTAGACATTACTAGTTCAAGGCCAATTATATTTCTGAGAGTAACTGTATACATCACAGGGTAGGAATTATCAAGATGTGCATTTATCAATTTTACAGCACCCGAATTGTAAACTAGCCTACAGTTATCATGGGGCGGCTCCAGTGGGACTCAAACGCTGGCAATCTCTGCCCTGGTTCAAGCTTTAGCAAAGAGCATTGAGAGAATGCATTCATATGCTATCAGTGAAATTAATGACAACATTCAAGGTTAACCAGTACACACACTCTCCCCCCTCCTCAGAGCTCGTATGTCCACCTCTGCGACCCTGGAGGGGGGGGTTGCTTCTTAAACCAAAAGGAAAGAGGAGGTCAGCGACCCCACGTGGGGATGGTAGTCCGTCAACTCCATGTCACCCGGGAACCTCTCCGGACGGTTTTGAATCATGTCCAGCCACTAAAAGCCAGGGTGAGTCCTGCAAACTTTACAGATTCAACAATACAACATATATTGGACATTTTGTTGGTTTCCAGTGGTTTATAATGCTCCATCTACATTTGGGCAATTAGCTGATGTTCTGTCCTGTCACTCTGAATGAATTCAACAATCTTAAGATTATAATCAGCATAAGTAGATTTAACTGTAAATCTATAGTTTTTATTTCATTTATAGAGATATTGGTCTCTCACAACAGCTCTTTCCAGACACAAAGTCCCTGTTACTCTGGATAAACTCTTCATCATACAGCCAAACAAGCCACAGCATTTCTTTATTTCTTTCTTGTAGGCTTTCCATTTAATAGAGCCCTACTGGGAGCCGACATCCATACTGCTCAGGTGTCCTTGAGCAACAGCTCTCAATATCTACGAGCGGACATGCCAGCTGGACAGGAATGGGACGCTGTGCTGCATTTCTGCCCGGCAACAAGATCCAGCTCTGTGAAAAAAGAAAACAACTCTCAAAACACTTCAGGAAACAGTTCTAAACCAACATAAGAAAATGTAATTTCCTGGGTTCCAATTTTACAAAATGATAATGTTAAAGCTCCGACTTTTTCCGATTCATCGTTTGTTGGGTGGTTGTACAACAGGTTTTATTTGATGCCTTCTTGCGCACTGTATTTTTATACATTTTTGTGGAAGGTTTTGCCACGTTTTGGACATTTATTTACATGTCTTATGGTTTTCTTACGCAGATTTCTCCTTATGACATCAATAGAGAATCAGAAATGGTTGGATTGTGGAGCTAAATCCTCCATTTGGGGTTCATTCTCCCTTG